AAAAGCCTTCTCTCTGCTCTTTGGCCAGCCCAGTTCCATCTCCCCTCTCCCCTGAGTCCTAGGATGTCCCTATTCAGCTCTGCCCTCCTTCCCATGGGGCAGTTGGAACTTCCTCCATCCACTTCTCCCTGCAGTTTCTCCCTAGAACCCAAAACTCACCCCCTCCACACCCCAGGCTCCCTATCCTTTCTCCCCAGAAAAGCTGCAAGTATTTTCACCTGGTGACCCTGCCCTCACTGATTCAAGCTTGTTCATTTGGGCTCTCCCACTGGCTGGGCTGGGGCAGGTCACACTCAGGAAAGGAAGGAAAGAAAAGCGGGTAGGAAACTCAGAGCCGGAGGGAAGGGACAATGAGCAGCCCGGCACACCCTGAAAGAGACACACCCAGAGACGGCCTTTGCTGGGGCAGGATCTTTTGGGTTCAAAATGGAAAAGGAGGGCTCAGAGAAGGAAGGGTGTGTGTGCAAAGGGAGGAAGGGTGGTGGCAGGAATTAACAAGAAAGAATAGAGGAAAACAAGAATACAGGGGTATAAAAAAGAAAGACCAGCGTCCAGAGAGAATTGACAAGTGGGCTTCTAAGAAGTCTGGCTCGGCTGCTCCCCTACCTGTTTGTGGTGTCTTTCGGGGGACCCCTTGGCAAGGCAGCTGCGGCTGAGACGGAGGTAGCCCCCCAGAACCAAGATCTCCTCGGCAGTTGGGTACCGCTTCTTTCCAGCCCCCGGGGCTGCAGCATCAGCTGTGGCTGGAGAGGCTGGGGTGGCTGGGGAGGTCGTAGGGGGCACAGACCGCCGGGGGTTGACGGTGAAGGTGTGTCCACTGCGGCGGGGGGCCCCCACCCCTGGCCCTGCCTTCACCCCATAGAACAGGCGGCTCATGAGGGGATCCCCAGGAGGTTGGGGGGCAGTTGGGGCTGGGGGTGGGGGAGACAGAGGGGCTGGTGGTGGGGGCTGGAGTTCCACTGCTTCCTCTTCCTGCTGTCTCAGGCCTCCAGTCCCAGCGTCCTCTGGTGGGAGGGGGGAGGGCACAGAGCAGCAGTTCTGCAGGGCTCTCAGAGGCCTGCCCTGAGCTCCCGCCTCCTCCTTCTCAGCCTCCCCTTCAGCTTCCACACCGGGAGGCTCCAGACGCTTTTCCACTGACTCTGAAGGTTCTGGTTTCTGAGTTTGAGCCTCGTTGTCCCTGGGTGTCCATTCTCGAGGCTTCCCGGAATTCAGGGTCCATTTCCACCCTTCTGCTGGCTTCGTGCCCCTCTCGCTGTCTCCCACAGGCCTCTGTTCTGCGGCCTCCACTCCTGCAGAACTGCTGCCTTGGGCCTCCTTTGTCAGGCTCTCTGACAGCTCTGTAGTCTCTTCTGGGACCACCCCTGGAACTGGCCTCCCTTCTTTTCTCCCACATTCTTCCGAGTAGCCTTTTCTTTCTTCTCCTAACCTCAGCCTCCACTCTGTTGCCTCTGGTTGTACCAAACTCTGTTCCTGAGACTCTCTGGAGTCAGGTCTCCATTTATGGGCCTCTGTCAGGCCCGACTTCAGGTAGGCAGATTCCCCCGGGCTCAGCCTACTTTCCACCTCTTTTCTCCTGGGGCTTTGCTCTCGAGACTCTGCTAGTCTCAGACTCCACTCTGGAGTTTCTACAGGACTCTGCCTCCATTTCCGTGCCTCTGACAGTCGGGAGCTCCTGTCTCCTGCCTCTCCTGGGCTTTGCCTCCAGTCCCGAGCCTCCAGAGGCCTCAGGCTCGACTCTTGGGCTCCCCCTATCCCCAGCCTCCTCTCTCTGGTCTCCCTGGGACTTAGTCTCTCTTCTCTTGACTCTCTTCCCTTGGGGCTCTGATCCCGCGTCTCCCCAGGGCTGGGTCTCCGCTCCCGGGCCTCCAGAGATCCCGGCTTTCTCTCAGCTAGCAGCTCTTCACTCCGTTGCTGCTGCTGCTGCTGCTGCTGCCGCTCCTGCCGGATGAATCGGTTCTGGTGCACTGGCCCGATGGCCTCTTGAAGGACCGCAGATTCATCTGTGTCTGGAGGTCCGGCCTCTGCAGCCCCTGGCACAGGGCTAGGCTCCCCAGGGGACAGCCCAAGCTTGGCCCGGCGGCGCTCCAGGAGCCCTCGCTTCCAGGCTGGCATCTGGGATAGACGCTCCCGTTCTGCCTTCTCCCGGCCTCTAACGGACGCCTCCTCCTGCCGGCGCCGGGCTAGCAGCTGTAGCTTCCAGTCTGGGATGGTGGTCATGGTCGCCTTGAGGTGAGGGTAGGGAGCACTGGGGGCAGAGAACAGGAAGAAGAGGCCCCAGAGAGGCCCAGGGAGTGAGACTGAGGGTGGGAGGAGAGGAAGTGGAGGGGGAGAGGTGGGACACCGAACAGGGCAGAGGAGCTGAGGATGAGGACCAAGGGAAAGAGGGACGGCAGAGAACAGGGGAAATGGAAAAAGTGAAGAGAAGTTGTGAGCCCAAGTTAGGGGTGGTGGGGGCGATGTGAGAGGAAGAGTCCAGACTGGAGGCAATGGGGCAGGAGCCAGATGTGGCAGTACAGGTTAATGCGCATTAAAGACAGTCTCTAGGAGGTGAGAAACAGAGAAAGGGCGAAAAGGAAAGTTGCTATGAGGGTGAAAAAAGAAAAGGGGCAGGGATGAGGGGAACCTGGGTGCAGGCCAGGCTGCCTCAGCGATGCCCCAGGGAGGTGAGTGTGGGAAGGAAGGACCGGGAGTCTCTCCCGAGAGGGGGCAACGGGACCTGAGGGGGTGTTGAGGAGGCAAGCAGGAGAGGACAGCGAGCAGGTCTAGGGTAGAAGGGAAAGCAGGGAAGAGGGCAAGGGAGCGCGGCGGCAGCGGCCGGGCGCGTCTCAGCGCGGGCCCCAAAGGTCCCTGCTCAGCTTCCAGCGCCGCTGGGGCCACGCCTCTCCCCAGCCCCCACCCCTCTGCCCCGCACTCCGCCCCCGAGGCGGGTCGGGGGAAATACCCACCCCGGGACTTTCGGAACCCGGGCGTCAGGGCTGCCAGCGCGTTCCCAGAACCCTGGCATCCACCCCCACCCAGTCCCGTCAGCACCGCCTGCCTCCCCCGCCGGCTGCGCCCGGCAACCCCGGAGTGCCGAAGGCCGGCTCCATGCCTCTTCTCTCCGGCGCCTGCGAGTCCCGTGCCCGGGCGCCGCTCTCATGGAGCCGTGACAGAGCCAGCCGTCTCCACCCCGCTCTGGCTGCACAGACTGACAATCTCGGCACAAAGAGGAGACAGCCAAGGTCCGGGCCAGGGACGGGAGCGAGGAGACACCCCTTCCCCAAGGCTGAGCCCCTCAGTCAACTCACAAGCCGTGGGGCCCCCCTGGGAGGGGGTGCAGAGGAGCCGGGCGTCCAGAGAGAGGAAGAGGAGGAGAGAGGGACCGAGGGAGATCCGGAGACTGGAGGGAGGGGAGAAGGAGGGAGAGGAGGAGGGAAAGAGGCAGCAAAGGAGGAGGGACGGAGACAGAGACCAGGGGGCCGGGCGGGGGCGGCGACCGCTTTGTCTAAGGACAATGAGGAGAGGGAAGGGGGCGCAGGGCGGAGCCCGAGGAGAGGGCGGGGCCTAGCTCCCTCCCACCCCGCGTGGGACTCGCTCTGGGACTGTCCCCTACTCACCCCAACCCCGGGTCCTCCGCTCTGTGTCCCCAGGGGCCCTCACCCGCTTCCCCCCCTGTAGCCCTGAAGAACCCAGGTGTCCAGATCTCTTCCCCCAGCTTGCCGAGCCAGGGCGGTGGCCCGTGACTCAGGCCCCTCGTGGGACTTTGGGAGGAAGCGGCAGCTGCTCGGAGCCGGGCCCGCCCTTCCCATCTCCTGCCACTCAGCCCTCCCTACGATTTTGCCTTCTCCAGCCAGTCTTTGTTTTTGCCGGATCGAGGGCAGCCACCGGGCTGTAGGAGGCCTTGAGGAGGGGGCGGCAGGAGAGGCACTCAGAAGCCAGCGGTTTTGGAAGCTCGTTCTCCTACCAGAGCTGTAGTCCCCACTCTTTCTAGCTTCAACCTGCCTCCCATGAATCTCCTGGTCAGCTGCGGGGTGGGGGGGTGGGGGGAAGGGGATTGAAGGAATGGGTACCCGGCCTCTCTGGCAAAGTGGGGGCGGGTCAGCGGGGGCGGGGTGGGGGGGGTGGCCGAAGCCCAGCGGTTGCCAGAGGGCGTGGTGGCTGCCCAGACTCCACTTCGCGGGCTCGCAGGCTCCCTCTGGCTTTCCTTCCCAAACTCAGCCCTGCAGCTTGGGAGACACTGACAGACTGCATGCAGCACGTAGAAAAATCAGGCTTTTATTTTCCTGCAGAACATCCAGAACAGGGAGCCCCGCGTTAAGAGCGGAAGAATCCTCTTGACTAGGTTCAGGGCTGAGCCCAGAGGCAGGGCCTAAGGAGGTGCAGACACTAGGGCCGAGAGTGCTGAGGCAAGGTGTGGGGCCTGGAGGGACAGCCACTACCTTTGAACTTGCAGACCCTGGTCCGGCTTCTTGGAGTGGAAGCCAGAGGTGGTGAAGGGGGGATCCCAGAGGCACAGAGGGAAGCAATGGTGCCAGCCAGCAGAGTGGTCAGGGCAGATCCTTTTCTTCTAGGAGGCTGTTGAGGGGGAGTGTGCTATGCCCTAAACAGTGAGGAGACAGATGAATTCCATACCCTGCTCTTCCTTGCTGGTGAGATGTGGACTCTTGGAGTTCAGTGGCTGAAACTCAGAATTTAGAGTATGGAGCTGGACCCAGAGAATAAAGTAGCAAGTAGTGGAAGGGGCAGCTCCTTCAATCCATGGATTTGAGCCTCTGGCCTGAAGCAGCCAGGGCCTAGATGTTAAAGATTTAGAATTCAGGGGGAGAGGGACTGGGCGTGGTGGCTCATGCCTGTAATTCCAGCACTTTGGGAGACCAAGGCAGGCGGATCACAAGGTCAGCAGTTCAAGACCAGTCTGGCCAACATGATGTAACCCTGTCTCTACTAAAAATACAAAAATTAGCTGTGTATGGTGGCGAGAGCCTGTAATACCAGCTGCTCAGGAGCCTGAGGCAGGAGAATCATTTGAACCTGGGAGGCGGAGGTTGCAGTGAGTCAAGATTGCGCCATTGAACTCCAGCCTGGGCAACAGAGCAAGACTCCATCACAACAACAAAAAGAATTCAGGGGGAGGGGAAAAACAGGGCTTGTAATCAGAGTGAGCTTCTCACTCTGCCTCCTCATCCTGGGGTCGAGAGAGCAGGTGGAGTTTTCTTTGCAGCTGGGCCCGGAGGTAGCGGAGGTCTTGCTGATCAAGCCCATGAGCTAGGCCCAGGTAGAGGGTAAGGAGGAGAGCAAGGAGGAGACGGTCTGTGCCAAGCTTGGGCACCACCCACAGCACTGTCAGCAGCTCCACACACACTGGGTGGCGCAGGTGGGAGAAGAGTCTGAGAGCCCGGGGAGACTTCAGGGCCAGAGGCTCGCCCAGCCCCAGCACATGGTAGTATACCTAAGAGAGGGAGAAGAGCTCAGAAATGAAGTCAAGCCCTTTTCTCAGCTTAGGCACTTCTTTCCTTTTCTTCCAGGCACCACCCTCCTAGAACTCAGGCCCAGGAACCCGCCTTCTGAGACTTGGGCCCTGACCCAGACTTCTTTTTTTTTTTTTTTTTTTTTTTTGAGACAGAGTCTCACTCTATCGCTGAGGCTGAAGTGCAGTGGCGAGATCTCGGCTCACTGCAACCTCTGTCACCAAGGTTCAAGCAATTCTCCTGCCTCAGCCTCCCAAGTAGCTGGGATTACAGGCGACTGCCACCATGCCCGGCTAATTTTTGTATTTTTAGTAGAGACGGGGTTTCACCATCTTGGCCAGGCTTGTCTTGAATTTCTGACCTCGTGATCCACCTGCCTCGGCCTCCCAAAGTGCTGGGATTATAGACGTGAGCCACCGCACCCAGCCCCTGACCCTGACTTCTGATCCATGTACCTTCCCCAGGCCCAGGAGGCCCATGATTGCTGTCCTTTTGACAGAGAAGCAAGAAGAAGGTAGAAAAGCATGGGAGGAGGGAAACCCTTGAAAGGGAAAGAGGAGTTCTAAAACGGGCCAGAGCCCGCAGGTAGGGATCTGGGAGCCTCACCTGTTTGAGGCCCATGAGCTCAGCGTAGTCAAAGACGAGAAGGATGCTGAAGATGAGGAGCCAGGAGATGACATGGAGCACAAAGCAGAGGAGGGGCACCCAGGTGGCCCATGGCTCAGCCCGAGCCTCCCACAACACGGGGCCTCTGGGTACAGGCTCCCAGTACCGCATCACCAGCTGTGGAAGGATAAGGGGCTGGGTAGCTCAGTGGCCTATGCTGCCTGCCCTTGGGAGACCCAGACCCAGGGCTGCCCCCACCACAGGCTAGCTTGCAACTCTCCCCCAACTCCTCTCCTGCCTCACCAACAAATATTCACCATGTGGAGGGTGAGGACCCAGAGATGTAAGGATCACCTGTCTCTACCCTGAAAACTTACAGATGGGGTGACCTGATATTTACACAAAGTAGTAGCCTATACCAGCCACCCAATGAGAAGACAGACAAGTACGATGGAAAGCCTTCTCTTCAGACCTAGGGAAGTGGTTTTGAAGAAAGGATAGGTCTGAAGAGAAGTTAAGGAAGGGATCTCAAGCAGGACATGAACAAAGTTGCAAAGGTGAGAACGCACATATTGTGCTTGGGGAAGGACAAGCACAGCCTTCTTGATTAAAAAGTAGGATATGTGCTGTAGAGGAATGGAAGCTGAGATTAGCTCCTCAGTTCTCCTCCTGAACCCATATTTTGCCCCTCTAATCCAGGGCACCCCTCCCACACTTGGTGTCCCTTGGGGACTCAACTGCCAGGGCCTCATACCTGCAAGGCCAGGGCAGTGCAGGCCACATACAGTGACCTCTGAAGGACCCCAAAGTACCGGCATGTCCATGCTTTCACTCTCTCAGCTGCCATGAGGCTGTGCTGCCCAACAAATAGAAGCAGGAGCCCCAGATCCCATGCCAGGGGGGCAAGGATGCTGCGGTCCTGCAGGGCAGCCAGCCATCCCTGGCGGGCATCTATGGGAAATTGAGGGATAAAGAGACAAAAGATCAAAAAGGGGGCAGAATATTTCCCCCACCCTCATCTCCTCTTGGAGCCCCAGGCCATATCCCTTACTGCTTTCAAGAGCCTTAATGCTTCCTGTCTATGCTGTGCACATCTCACTTTTCCATTCCTAGTTTCTGCCCTCTTCCCTATGCCTCCTGCAAACCTGGGGAAGAGGATTCATAGAACGAACAACGCATGTTGGGCAGTTGCAAAAAGCATGGCTGGAGAGGTCACCGCTGGATTGCCCCTTTTATTTTGGTTCTCCAAATGCCGCTTCTTTTTAACACTCTTTTCTCAACTGTCCTCTCTACAAAACACTTTACTTACAATACTCCGGTTATCGCCCTCTCCGGCTCCCTCAATCCTCACACTCCCTCCTCTCCAAGCCTCTAATCCTTGAGTTCCTAATTTAGTCCTCAGGTCTCCCTCCCTAGTAGCTTCTCGATCGCTTTCTTCGTTCAAATTCCCTCTCCCCTGTCATTTGTTTCCAAGCCCCGCCCTCGATCTCTCTACAGCAGCGGCTCCACCTTCCTACTCCCAGTTCATACTCGATCCCTCCCGCTCACCCGGACCACCAGACTCCGGGATCCCTCCAAGAAGTGGCTGAAGGGAGGTAAAGCGCACGAACTCCACTCCGGTGCCAAAGGCCAGGATGAAAGAGGCGAGGGCGGCAGGGACCAGGAGCAGTGCCGGGGCCATGGCGAGAAATGGAGGGGTGGGGAAAGGGGCGGGGTCGGGATTCCCGCTACCACAGACCCCGCCCCCGCCCCGCCCCCCGCACAGAACCCAGCCCAGGAGGGCGGGGCCCCTGCACACCGCTCGCTGCCCGACTTCCGGCCCGCGGGGCTCCGCCTCTCACACCCAGCGGCGGACCGGTGCCGGGATTCGTGTCCCAGCCTGCGGTGTCTCCATCACAGAAGGGAATGTTAGAATCCCGTCTGTGTTAGAGACAGAGAGCTGTTAAGGGTAGTGGCTCTGCAGCCGCTCACATGGATTGAATCTCAGCTCGTCTAGTTTTCCCATCTAAAATGAAAAGTGACTATTTTACAACAAAATAAATTAATGCTTATTCTGTAACTTATTATGAAGTTGAGTTGTTGACTGGCTAGTTTCTAAGAAGGGCAAGTAACTTCTCTGTAAATACTGAAAGGTTTGTTGTCATAGTGCCAGAGATTGTTGATTTGTAACCACAAGAGTAAAAATGTTAAAATATTTGTGATAGTAACATTTGTCAGAATTAAAGATCATGCAGCTAAGGACCTTGTCACACTAGCTGTGCACATAGTAGGGACCTTAGATATCATTAGACTAATTCCATCAATTTATAGATAGAAGAAATAGGTCCAGAGAGATGAAAATTGCCTGAGAGTTAGGAAGCGGCTAATCATGCAGGCTAAGGGACCGGAACATTGCTGAGCAGCCTCCCGAAAGCTTGACATTCCTTCTCCTCCCTCTCCTGGGTTCAGTACTCCTACCCTCCTCTGAATCAATGCTGTTGTATGCTGTACCAGACATCTTATGTTTTCCCTTAAATCCACTCTCCACTCTGCTTTCTGCTTCAGGAAGTTGTCCCAAATGGACCGCATCAATGAAAGTCACAGTTTTGGCCGGGCGCGGTGGCTCACGCCTGTAATCTCAGCACTTCGGGAGGCTGAGGCGGGCGGATGACAAGGTCAGGAAATCGAGACCATCCTGGCTAACACGGTGAAACCCCGTCTCTACTAAAAATACAAAAAAATTAGCTGGGCGTGGTGGCGGGCGCCTGTAATCTTAGCTACTCTGGAGGCTGAGGTAGGAGAATCACTTGAATCCAAGTGGCAGAGGTTGCAGTAAGCCGAGATCGCGCCACTGTACTCTAGCCTGGGCGACAGAGCAAGACTTCATCTCAAAAAAAAAAAAAAGAAAGAAAAAGAAAAGAAAAAAGAAAAAAAGTCACAGTTTTTATTGAGGACGTCCTCTCTACACCACTGCTCCTTCCTCATCTTTTTGAGCTTGGAGGTGGTCACAACAGAGCTGTGGGTATTAAGGCACTACACTATTCTTTCTGATTTCCCTACACTCAGCCTACTTATTTGTAATTATCACTTTATTAAAATGTCCCACAAAGTATCCTAATTTGACTGTGCTATTCATTTCCTGCTATGACTGTGAATAGAGGCACTTACCACGCAAAGCAATGTGCTACAAGCTGTGGAGTTCATTGGAAGTGTAAGAGGCCAGACACGGTGGCTCACACCTGTAATCCTGTAATCCCAGCACTTTGGGAGGCTGAGCTGGGTGGATCACTTTAGGCCGGGAGTTCGAGATCAGACTGGCCAACATGATGAAACCCTGTTTCTTTTTTTTTTTTTTTTTTTTTTTGTTTAAACTGAGGCACTTAAATAGTACTCCTCATGAAGAGGGAGTGTAGCTGAGTGCTACATGGTGCTCTACAGACACCAGGTACGGTAAGAAATCAGGCCTCTTGCTGGATGCAGTGGCTCATGCCTGTAATCCCAACACTTTGGGAGGCCAAGGTGGGTGGATCATCTTATGTCAGGAGTTGGAGACCAGCCTGGACAACATGGTGAAACTTCATCTCTACTAAAAATACAAAAAATTAGCTGGTGGTAGGGGATGCCTGTAATCCTGGCTACTTGGGAGGCTGAGGCAAGAGAATTACTTGAACCCAGGAGGCAGAGATTGCAGTGAGCTGAGATCATACCACTACACCCCAGCCTGGGTGAAAGGCTTTTTCTTTCCTTTTTTTTTTTTTAAAAAAAAAGGAAAGAAAAAGAAATGAGGGACATGGACAATTTCACAGAATATGAAAGCTTTGAGTTGTGCAAGGGGACTAATATTTACCTGGGTCCGACTGTCTGCCACTCCCACAATGGCTGTGCTTAATGTATGTTATGAGATTAGATATGTTTAAAAGCCAGCACCGTGCTTGGTAAATCTCATGCTATTTCTACTACACCAAAATGTTCTAAACTTAAGTATTACTTACATGCAGAAAATGGCACAAAACTAATCAACTCTTTTTTAAAAATTGAAATTCATACAACATAAAACTAACCTTTTTTTTTTTTTAGTTGGGGTCCCACTCTGTCATCCATGCTGGAGTGCAGTGGTATGATCATGGCTCACTGCAACCTCAAACTTCTGGGTTCAAACGATCCTCTTGCCTCAGCCTCCAGAGTAGTTGGGACTACAGGCACGTGCCCACATTCAGCTTTTAAAAATTTTTTTTTGTTTTTTTTGAGACCGAGTTTCGCTGTTGTTGCCCAGACTGGAGTGCAATGGCGCGATCTCGGCTCACTGCAACCTCCGCCTCCTGGGTTCAGGCAATTCTCCTGCCTCAGCCTCCCGAGTCGCTGGGACTACAGGCACGCACCATCATGCCCAGCTAATTTTTTGTATTTTTTTAGTAGAGACGAGGTTTCACCTTGTTGACCAGGATGGTCTCGATTTCTTGACCTCGTGATCCACCCGCCTTGGCCTCCCAAAGTGCTAGGATTATAGGCGTGAGCCACCGCGCCCGGCCAGCTTTTTTTTTTTTTGAGACGGAGTTTCACTCATGTTACCCAGGCTGGAGTGCAATGGCGTGATCTCGGCTTACCGCAACCTCCACCTCCTGGGTTCAGGCAATTCTCCTGCCTCAGCCTCCTGAGTAGCTGGGATTACAGGCACGCACCACCATGCCCAGCTGCCCGGCCAGCTTTTAAAAATTTTTTGTAGTGATGGGATCTCACTATGATGCCCAGGTTGTTCTCAAACTCATTGGCTCAAGTGATTCTGCTGCCTCAACCTCCCAGTGTGCCACCATGCCCTGCCTAACCACTTTATTTATTTTGAGATGGAGTTTCACTCTTGTTGCCCAGGCTGGGGTGCAATGGCTCGATCTCGGTCCACCGCAACCTCTGCCTCCCAAGTTCAAGCAATTCTCCTGCCTCAGTCTTCCAAGTAAGCTGGTATTGCAAGCATCTACCACCAGGCCTGGGTAATTTTTTAAATATTTTTAGTAAAGACAGGGTTTCTCCATGTTGGTCAAGTTGGTTTCGAACTCCTGACCTCAGGTGATCCACCCACCTCAGCCTACCAGTGCTGGGATTACAGGCATGAGCCACCACGCCTGGCTAACAGCAGGTATTGTTTAAATGACTAGATTAGAAAAACAATCATGGTAGACCCCTTAGTTCATTCTTGTAATAAGCCTGTTGATCTGGTCCTCCCTGTTGCCAGCATCTCCACTTTCCACAAAATGGATGGTCTTTTTCTTCATTCCACCTTGTGGAAAGGATAATTTGAAGGACCACAAGAAGTTATTTGCTTCTTTGAGGCATTTTCCTACAGTATAGATCTCATGAATCAGATCCTCCATGCAGGTGATGCCATATTTACCAAGAGATCGAGCAATCAAAGTGTTATCTGTCAAAGCAATTTGCTTCTTACTGATTTTGCCATAACCACACTGGTAGATTAGTTCATTTACTGACTTCAGATTTGGGTACCCCCATGCAATATATCGTTCTGCAATCCTCAGCATGTTAATTGAAGCCTTGTTAAGCTTCACAAAGGTTCCACTAAAGACTTTTTTCTATTTTTTTCATTTTTTTTGAGATGGAGTTTCACTCTTTTTGCCCAGGCTGGGGTGCAATGGCTCGATCTCGGTCCACCGCAACCTCTGCCTCCCAGGTTCAGGCAATTCTCCTGCCTCAGCCTCCTGAGCGGCTGGGATTACAGGCACGCACCACCATGCCCAGCTAATTTTTTGTATTTTTAGTAGAGACGGGGTTTCACCGTGTTGACCAGGTCTCGATCTGTTGACCTCGTGATCCACCCACCTCGGCCTCCCAAAGTGCTGGGATTACAGGCTTGAGCCACCGCGCCCGGCCTCCACTGAAGATTTGACAAAGGCAAAGAAGCTGCAACAGCTTTCAGACCTTTGGGCTCAGTATTGATACCTCTGATCCTGATGACAAACATCACTTTGGGTTTTGCAGGTACATAGAAGTTGCCAGCTTTTCTAGCCATCCTTGCCACGCTAATTTCAGTTCTGTCCATCTGCCTATATTCCTTGTGATAGTGCTCTGCTTTTTCATAGATAAGCGTTCTTGCTTTATGAAGCATCTTTTGGGCAAACTTCTTTCTCAGGCCATTGATCTTCAGCTCTGTGAAATTCCTTTGCATTTTAAAGGTTTCTGGCCTAGCAGGAACCTTCTTTTTCTTTTCTACAACACCCTAAATGGTTCCAGCCAGAAAAGAGGCTTTTTTTTTTTTTTTTGAGACTGAGTCTTGCCCTGTCGCCCAGGCTGGAGTGCAGTGGCGAAATCTTGGCTCATTGCAAGCTCCACCTTCCGGGTTCCAGAGATTCTCCTGCCTCAGTCACCCAAATAGCTGGGATTGCAAGCACACGCCACCACACCCAGCTAATTTTTGTAGTTTTAGTAGAGACGGGGTTTCACCACATTGGCCAGGCTGGTCTGAGACTCCTGACCTCAGGTGATCTGTCCACCTTGGCCTCCCGAAATCCTGGGATTACAGGCATGAGTCACCACGACCAGCTTTTTTTATTTTTGAGACAAGGTCTCACTCTGTTGCCCAGGCTGAAGTGCAGCGGCTCGATCTCAGCTCACTGCAGCCTTGACCTCCTGGACTCAATCGATTTTCCTCTCAGCCTCCCAAGTAGCTGGGACCATAGACATGTGCCACCATGCCTGGCCAATTTTTGTATTTCTGGTAGAGACAAAGTTTTGCCATGTTGCCCAGGCTGGTCTTGAACTCCTGAGCTCAAGCGGCCTGCCCACCTTGGCCTCCCAAAGTGCTGGGATTATATGTGTAAGCCACTGTGCCTGGCCATATGTTTAACTTTTTGAGGAACCATCAAACTGTTTACCACAGAGGCTGAACCATTTTACATTCCTACCAGCAATGTGTAAGGATTCTAATTTCTCCACATCCCAGTTTGGCTGGGTACGTTGGCTCAAGACTGTAATCCCAGCACTTTGGGAGTCTGAGGTGGGTGGGTCACTTGAGGTCAGGAGTTTGAGACCAGCCTGGCCAATCTGGTGAAACTCCGTCTCTACCAAAC